AAGAAGCCCTGACGCCAAAACACTGACGCTATCGCCCCCCTCTCTTGCACCACCGAATTATACCGCTTGGGAATTCCACGAACCGCCGCGCAGTAAGTCTCTGGTAGTTTTTTGAGGTCGCTGGGTACGCCGCGCCCACAGCAAACACGTTGACTTCAGTTCTTTCCACTTTCACAGGGGAAAACACAGTTCAAGCTATTGTCTACGATGGACCACGATGACATCGACCGCACTCCGTGAAAACGCAACTCGAACTCCGTGTGTGTATGTGTGTATGTATGTGTGTGTATGTATGCCTGTGTGTGCGTGCGTGCGTGCGTGTGTGTGTGTGTGTGTGTGTGTGCGTGTTTCTTGTGTAAGCTGAAAGACGCGAAAAATTATTGAAATAGCTATTACTCCAAGGGTTCAGGGGATCTCGTAGTCGAGCAGTCTCGACTAGAGCTTTCTTACTTGTTATAGCCTGAACCCATTGAAAATGGGAAATCAGGGTATAATGGTTTTGTGAAAAGTATGTAACAGGCAGAAGGAATCATCGCAGACCCCATAAAGTATATATATGTATATGTTTAATAACTTTTTTTGTGGACATACGATCGTCACGAAACTTTCAGATTATCATTATAACATGGGTATGCATGCATTTGCCAAAGCACAAGTCTCTAGTATTTGAAATACGGGTGAATATAGGGGTGAGGGGTAAATTTTAACAAAAACCGAAATTGTATAAATTGCATATAAGCATACATTAAAAATTTGGAGACTCTAGCAATAAAGGTGTAGAAGATATAATTTTATAACTGGTTTTCGATATGCTTTTTTATCGATAAAAAAGGATCGGGATGAGTTATCGATTTTTAATGATAAACTTGATATGCGCGCTGTAATTACGGACATTTTAAAAAAAATTTGAAGTCTCTAGCTCTTATATCATCGGAAATCGACGCGTTCAAACATACGGACAGACGGACAGACAGACAGACGGACAGGGCCAAATCAACTCAGCTCGTCGCCCTGATCAAGTATATATATATACTTTATGGGGTCTGCCACGCCTCCTTCTCCCTGTTACATACATTTCAACAAAACCATTATACCCTGATTTCCCATTGAAAATGGGTTCAGGGTATATACTGCGCAGTTAGCAGAGCGTGTATGTATGTGTGTGTGTGTGTATGTATGTGTGCCGAACAGAAGAGCAGAGTGATTAGAATATCAGATTAGAGGGTTCAGGGTATCTCCAAGTCGAGCAGTCTCGACTAGATTCTTCTTACTTGTTTAGTTCTGGTCCTGTGTTGTATGGAGGACGTTTTCCTATATCGAAATTTGGGCAAATAATATAATTAACCTGCTTCGTTTGCATGGACTTGTCTACGTCCATGGTTTCGGGACGAGGGTAAGGTTTTGGTCCAGACGTTGAGGGGGTGCTACAGGATAACTGTAGTTTGGCTGTTGAAAGAATTGTTGTCCGGACGGACGAGGGTGTGCTATTGGGAAGGTGTAACTTGGCTGTTGCTTGAACTGCTGTCCATAAGGTGTTATTTTATTTTCTTAAAAACTGGGGTTTGGCCTATAAGATTGAATTGGCTGACGTGGAATGTTATTTTGTGTTATTGGAGAAGCTCGGAATAATTGCATACGGCCTTTTTGGTTGGCTGGGAGGCGACATACTTTTGATTTTCTAACTTGAGGCATAAATGAAGGGCTTGTGGCAAGTCAGTGGGTTCTTTAATTCCTAGAAGTCTAGGGAGATCCTTGGAGACCTCTTACGAAGGTGTCAAGTGCCTTATTACGATATACTTTAGTCAGTAATCGCTCAGATTCTCTGGTCACATTCATACAACCCACTTTGTTAAGAATAAGTGACAAATGTTTATAAACGACTGAATGGAATTCTTCAACAGATTGATTACCTTGAGTCAGTCCAGTCATCTGATATTCTAGGATTTTTATATCCCTCTTATCAGCGTAATGTAGAGTCAGGCACTTAGTAATGGCACTCCAGTCGAGTGGTACGTTGTAAGATTCTAATGCTGTATCTGCTAGTCCGGTTATTTTGTTTCTTATTGTATGAAGGATGCCGAAATATCTAGGGCTGTCTTCCTGTCCTGAATAAATTTCCATTATTCTGTCAACACTCTTCTTCCAGGAGCTAAACTCAGCGAAAGGGCTTGGTCTGATTGATTCAGCTGTATTGTTTATTGCTAGAGTCTCGATGGCAATTTTCGAAATTAATTGTGTTAGTTGGTCTATATTCATTTGGGTGTTATTGGGGGGTGCTGATCTGGAGGATGACGCATCATCGGACAACAATGATGGTCTTATTAAGTTACTTGGGTTTGCCATGATTAACTGTAATTATAATTTTTTTTTTTTGTTATTTACTTATCTAATTCCGTTTTTGATTACTTATTTGATCTCTTCTTTGAAACAAAATATTTACTTTTTATACCCTGAACCCATTGAAAATGGGAAATCAGGGTATAATGGTTTTGTTAAAAGTATGTAACAGGCAGAAGGAGGCGTGGCAGACCCCACAAAGTATATATATTTTTGATCAGGGCGACGAGCTAAGTCGATTTGGCCCTGTCCGTCTGTCTGTCCGTCCGTCCGTCCGTCCGTCCGTCCGTATGTGTGAACGCGTCGATTTCAGAAGATATAAGAGCTAGAGACTTGAAATTTTTTTCCTAGGTCCGTGTATATCACACGCATATCAAGTTTTTCTTTATATATCGATAACTACTCCCGATATTTTATTATCGATCAAAAACCTTATCGAAAGCTAGTTATTTAATTATATCTCCTACACCTTTAGAGCTAGAGCTTGCAAATTTTAAATGTAGACTTATATGTATTTTATATAATTTCGATTTTTGTTGTAATTTACCCCCCACCCCTATATCCACCCCCTTACCCTCACCTTTGTAAAAGGCGTATTTCAAGTACTAGAGACATGTGCTTTGCTATGTACATACATTTTCACCATATAATTATGCCCTGAAACTTTTATTAAGATTGTACGTTTAGAAACTAAATTATTCAACAAATAAATTCTTATAATGTTACTACACTACAGCGCAGCCCAAGCGCAGTCGCTGCTTACTGCGCAGTTAGCAGAGCGCGTTCTAATACGTGCGTGTGTATGTATGTGTGTCGAAAAGAAGTGCAGACTGATTAGAATATCAGATTAGAGGGTTCAGGGTATATCCTAGTCGAGCAGTCTCGACTAGAGTCTTCTTACTTGTTCAATTCAGTTTTTGATTACTTAATTGATTTATTCTTTGAAACAAAATGTTTACTTTTTTTTTTTTTAATTCATTTTTTTTTTACAATTTCTTAGTTTAACTTACAATATAATAGCAGCTATGGTCATCCTCTGCGGAAGGTCGAAAGTCTCCTTTTTGGATGTCCTACTCAGGTTTCGAGGTCTTCACTTCATCCAGTGGTTGGCTAGGAGCGGGTCTTGTAGCCTTGACGGTTGCTGCTTGGCACGTAATAATTAAGTTATTGTTGTGCTTTATTTATTTTTTTTGTTTGGCGCTTAATAATTGTTTTATTTTTGTGCTTTATATTTTACACGTGATAATTGTTTTATTTTTGTGCTTTTTATTTTACACTTAATAATTGTTTTATTATCGTGCTTAATTTTGTTAATAACTTCACAGCCACAAATGAATTTATGGGAGTTTCACTGTGAGAATTATTTGAACCAGCGACGGTATCAACGTATGAACACTTTGGGCTATATTGTTATACCGATTACGCACTTAGAAACTGGGTATTCTATTGTACGCGCTGGTCCCTGCTCGGGCGCCAGTTAAAAAAACGTTTTGTTTCGTTCGACTTATTTATTCGAATACCAAAATGAAACTAAAACTCTATTACATTATTAGGTGGCTTAAATATGGACTACAGCGGATGCGCCAGCGGTTGCACCAGCGGTTGCGCGTGTTGCTCTCGTAACCATAATTCTTAAGAATTGTTTTGCTGCTTGGAGCGGATGCAATGCAGACCGTAGGTCAGCATTTTTGGCGCAGTGCGTGTTGCAGGGCGTTGAACTGCTTTTGACTTTGCTTACGTTAACTTGCATAATTGAGCATCGCATCCCATGCGTACACACAATCAAATGTATATACATACATACATATGTATGTGAGCACTTCACAAGATCGACCAAATGCAAATGCTGGGATTTAAAATTGCTACAGGCAGCAAGAGCTTCGCACACAGGCATACAAATGCTCATAGTACATGCAGCATACAGAAAGTGTGTGTTTGTGCATGCTCGTCGTGAAAACATTTTCATTATGCGCACCAACGCTTTCATACCCTTCCCACAAATAATAACGAAAACGCTTGAAGAGTTCGGAATACTCTTCACTCAGAAGGGAAGGCATGGGTTCTAGCTGCGACGAAATTTAAATTTTCGTGAGCTGCTGCTTGTGCTCACATGCATACATACATATACATATTTGAGAGAGCGGAGAGCATTGAGAGAGAGAGAGAGAGAGAGAGAGCAAGCGAAACATTGAGCACAGAGGGATCTTTTGTTCAACAGTCGAAATGATTGTGCTTTCGTACATTTTCGTAGCTCGAACCTAAAAGTAAGGAGTCGAGCAAATACGAAGTTGTGTGGGACTCAACGCTCGAAAAAAGTGTGCAAAACGCTTTACACTACGTGGCCGGTCTATGTGTCCTCTGGTTAGTACTAGTACATGGTTCAACATTGTGTTGTTTTCAATTTCAATAAATAATTTTTTCAACGCCAGTGAATGAAACAAGTAATTACAGTTTTACCACTAACCCGAGAGCCCATAGACTAGACATGTAGTAAAATTTTGTTCAATGAGGAAAAAATGCGCTGAAGAGAACAGACAAGCTTAGTCTCTGTTCTCTGGTTAGTGGTTTTGCAAAACGATACACATACAGCCTATTCTTTTATTTCATTTTTGTAGTACAAACATGTTTGCTATGTTGACTTCAGATTGTTTGCTGATTCCCGACATTAACCGCGAATTTGAACTCGGGAGCATACTGTTATTGTGTGCTGGTTGTAGTTTGGTTTATTATTTATAAAATTTACGAATTACCTTATATATAATAACAAAAAAAAAGAAATTTATGCATTCACAAATGATTGGGAAAATTAAATCTGTTTACTGTAAATACTTTGTGTAAGTAAATTGTCTAATATGTGTGTAGACGCCAGAGTATACAGACATACATATGTATGTATGTAGGTACATATGCATACATATCATGTATGTACATATGTATACTACAGCTAATGCAAAATATCTGTAAAGAATTATGTGTATATACATATTAACTTGACATAATGATTTTTAGTTTGCATAATGTCTTTGCTTTTTTTTCTCAAATAAAAGATAATTAAAAATCTCGTGTTAACATGGGTCAGAAAAATTACTCATTCATGAAGTAAATGTGCTCGTCAGTCCGTATGAAAACAAGCTGTTAATCTGCTATTACTGACTTGGAACTTTACTCGTGAATACCCTCTAACATTGCTAAGATTTTATAGATACGCCCATTAAGGGCGCGGCGAATTGTTGAAACACAATGTCCCGTATCACAGGAACATAGCCATTTAAAGTTAGTGATGTAAATTTGAATGAAAACATCGATGTCGATGTCCATCAATCTTTTCAAAATCAAGCATACAGTGGGTCAAAAAAGTATTGGCACACTTGAAAAATCAAACTTCTAAGAGCTGTAACTTTTTTTGGAACACAGCTATAAATAAATGAAAAACGGTATTTGTTAAAACCATGTTTTCTAATATTACTTTAACAAAAAAAAAAAAAAAAATAAATTTCTAGTTTGGTTCACTTGCGCAGAACTAAAATATACATATAGGCACAAATTTTCGTCAAAAAAGTATTGGCACAAAAGGCGTAATCAGTCATTTTCATCGGTAGTTAATCACCCCAATACCTTGTGGGTCCTCCTTTAGACTGAATACCCGCCTGCAAACGTCTCTTCATGATAATTATAAGTAGTGATTTTGGCCCATCCAGCGCGTAGGGCCTCTTTAAGAGAATCCTTTGAGGTTATTTGATGATATCGGATCTTTCTTTCTAATAGGTGCCACACATGCTCCATGGGATTCCAATCCGGTGATTGGGGCGGTGTTTTGAACTGCTTGTAATGGTATATGAGCCACCCCTGCACAGTATAAGACGAATGTTTTGGGTTATTGTCTTGATGAATCTGGCAATCAGTGCCACTGAGACGCAGTTTTTGAATATCTTGTCTTCAATTCTCTTTGAGAATGTCTCTATAAACATATTTGTCCATAGTGTCATCAATAAACACAAGGTTTCCAACTCCTGAAGCAGCAAAACACCCCCAAACCATCACATTACCTCCACCGTGCTTAACCGTTTTGAGCAAGTTATTTTCCTGAAGCTCCTTCTTAGGTTTCCGACAGATTTTTTGCGCTGCATTAGACCCTAATAGATTAAAATTGGACTTGTCACAGATGGAGTGATCTCAGCTCGTTCCTTATGAGTGAAGGGTATACCGAAATTTGTAAAGCGTTCGCCACGTTCATACAAAATGTTAGCGTTTTCATGATTATTTCTAAGAAGGTTATGAAAGCGTTGGTGCGCATAAAGAAAATGTTTTCGCGATGAGCATGCACACACACTCTCTCGCTTACTACATGTACTATGAGCATTTGTATGCCTGTGTGCCTTTACATGTGCGTGTGTGTATATCTTTGTTTGTATGCTTGGGAGATGAACATTGGCGTGTGCCTACCTCAACTTTTAATGATGTGAACGATTTTGGGTTTTAATTGAAGAGGCGCTGTTATTTGCCAAATCAGTATTTTCCCCGTCAAATTTGGCTTTTTTGAAAATCCAATTTCGGGAAGAAACAGCGGGAACTAACTGAACTAGAATATGATATATATTTTATTCAATTGATCTTATTATGAGCTGTATTATCAATATATATATATAATATATATTTTTTTTGTAAACAAAACGTTAAACTTTTCTAACAGATTTTATAAGGCATGTAGCACAAGAAGTTTTGGGCTGAAAAGCGTGCCTCTAAGGCATTAAAATGGCATTGCTTTCCTTGCCATGGTCGAACGCGCAAGTGGAAAGAATTTTTAGTCAGATCAATACTGTGAAAAAAATTCTACGCAATACAATGAATATTAATATTCTTAACTCAAGTAGCAAGAAATGACTTCAAGTCGCTAAAAATATTTTTAAATATGATTGGCAATATGGATAAAGATAATAATTGTCACAAATTGTATAAAATACTGAGCTATATGTAAAAATAAAGCCATTATATAAGCAAAAAACAAGCTTTTTTGTCAGATGTTTTTTCACAAAATTTCAGTTTTTTTTAGTATTTCAAAAACAGCTTATTTTACTCAACAAAAGTTGGCAACACTGGTCTTGATCAATGTGAAACTGAGATGATTGCTATTTTCTAGTACCGTGTTGTTTCACTGGAATTGTTTTGGTTGCCGGTCAGAACGGATGTCATGCAGTACATCAGCATTTTTGGTGCAGCGCACTGAAGCAACTATGCGAGCATGTTCGAGAACATAATTTTAACAAGTAAGATCTCTAGTCGAGACACACACATAGACATACAGTCACGCCTAAACACGCGTTGGCTGCAGTGTGCGCTTACTATCAGAACTTAATTGTTTAATAAATTTTTTGTGGAAACTTTCAGATTATGAATTTAACATGGATATACATTTATTTGCCAAAGCACAAGTCTCTAGTATTTGAAATACGTCTTTTACAAATATGTGGGTGAGGGGATGGATATAGGGATGGGGGGTAAATTTATAACAAAAAACGAATTGTATAAAATGTATATAAATCTACATTAAAAATTTGGAGACTCTAGCTTTAAAGTTGTAGGAGATATAATTTTATAACTGACTAGCTGGCCCGGCAAACGTTGCATTGCCCTATCCATTATTTCTAGGTAAAAAATTGTTGAAAGCTATGATGTTCAGGTTGGGACACACTTTGATTAATTTATTAATCGGATTTTGATTCAAGCACCTTGTGGTAAACGACATTCTTCGTTTTTTGGTCAGGTGCAAGAACAAATAATGCGGATGGTTTGCCAACACGTGAGCATGCAACGTACAATTGACCATGAGAAAAACACGCATTTTTATACCCTGAACCCATTTTCAATGGGAAATCAGGGTATAATAATTTTGTTGAAATGTATGTAACAGGCAGAAGGAGGCGTGGCAGACCCCACAAAGTATATATATTCTTGATCAGGGCCGTATGTCCGTATGTATGAACGCGTCGATTTCAGAAGATATAAGAGCTAGAGACTTCAAATTTTTTTTTAAATGTCCGTAATTACAGCGCGCATATCAAGTTTATCATTAAAAATCGATAACTCATCCTGATCGTTTTTTATCGATAAAAAACCTTATCGAAAACCAGTTATAAAATTATATCTTCTACACCTTTATTGCTAGAGTCTCCAAATTTTTATTGTATGCTTATATGCAATTTATACAATTTCGGGTTTTGTTAAAATTTACCCTCCGCCCTTAAATTCACCCCCTCACCCTCACTTTTGTAAAAAGCGTATTTCAAATACTAGAGACTTGTGCTTTGGCAATTACATGCATATCCATGTTATAATCATAATCTGAAAGTTTCATGAAGATCGTACGTCCACAAAAAAAGTTATTAAGCAATTAAGTTCTCATAGTAAGCGCTCACTACCGCCCATGCGTGTTTATGCTTGTGTGTGTATATGTATGTAAATGTTTGTGTATGTGTTTGTGTATGTGTGTCTGTATGCGTGTGTGTGTATGTATGCCTGTGTGTGCGTGTGTGTGTGCGTGTTTCTTGTGTAAGCTGAAAGACGCGAAAAATTATTGAAATATCTATTGCTCCAAGGGTTCAGGGGATCTCGTAGTCGAGCAGTCTCGACTAGAGCTTTCTTACTTGTTTATGAATAGTCAGGTTAGCCTGAGGCTGTGCCGTAGACTAACCGACTACATTTGTTTATCTATACTAATGTATAATATGAGAGCAGGACCGAAAACTGTGACTGTTATCAAGCCTACTGAGTATCAATGGAAATTTGAATCTTTAGGGAAAAAACCGCGTTTTTCAAGTATTCGTCAAAATTTTTCAGTATTGTTAAGATCTACTATCCTACTAGTGGCGGAGACAAATCCAACAAATCGAAAACCATGAAAATTGGTCCAGCACATAACATGTTATAAGTCTCGGAGCATTTTTACACAACTCTCTTTTATATATATAGATTTCGATACGTTTTTTTATCTAAAAAAAAATAACGGGGCAAGTTATCGATTTTTAAAGCAATTTACAAAAAAAATTGAATTCTCTAGCTATCGTATCTTCTGAAATCGCCGCGTTCAAACATACGGACAGAGCGACAGACGGACGGACGGACAGACAGGGCTAAATCAACTCAGTTGTCGCCCTGTACAAGAATATATATACTTTATGGGGTCTGCCAAGCCTCCTTCTGCCTGTTACATACATTTCAACTAAACCATTATACCCTGATTTCCCATTGAAAATGGGTTCAGGGTATAAAAACAAATAAGAACGTTGTAGTCAATAGCAGAATATCTTGCGGTTGCGTGCAGTTTGTAAAGCAAGTTTTTTTCATATTGTAAGTAAAGTGCCTTCACAATGCAATGGACTAACAGCAGTCTCAGGGCACTACCGACACAAGCGGTAAGAAGGGCGACTACCCGCGTGCGACTTCAAGCTAGCAGAAGATCGGGGCGATTCTCCAATATACACATTCATCGTTTATTCTATCCGTAGACAATAGCGCGATTTTGATTTTCCAGTCATTACTGTAGATTTGTCAGATTCTCTGTTGTGAAGTTATTCTATTTTAGATACTAGCTGATCAAGCGAACTAACGGCGTAAAGCGGCGCAAGTCGTGTGACTCAGATCATCGCCCTGATCAAGCATATACATATATACTGTATGGGGTCTGTGTGTCAACACGTGGATTCGTTCTGCCTGTTACATACTTTTCACAAAACCATTATACCCCGATTTCCCATTTTCAATGCGTTCAGGGTATAAAAAACTGTCATATATCAAATTTAAGGTTCTTAGCATCAATGGTGCCTAAAATATAGCAGAATTCGAAAACTCTATCTTCAGATCCGATTTGCCACGCCCCTAGTAATTATATAATTTTTTCAACAATCTTTATGGAATCGTAGCTCTAGTTGACGTGTAATGTTCAGAGTTCTAACTTCAAAGCTCTAGAAGATACTGTTTTACTCGATTTGCCACGTCCCTAATGGGTGTACATATATCCGCCATTGCTTTTTGATCTTGGGCGGTCAACACGAATCTACATTCCAAATTTCAGCGTTCTGGCTCTTCAATTAATATGATTTCTGGCACAAGGGAAAATGTAGTTTGCGATTTGCGTCGTACGAATACTGCTATCTACATTCGAATATTTGACAAACACAACATGTTCGTGTAAGATAAAACAATTGTAGAATGGTTGGTATATTAGTTCTTTCTGCAAGTTTCAGGGGATCTCCTAGTCGAGAAGTCTCAAAGTAGAGCACTCTGACTTGTTTTTCTTTACTCTTTCATTTATGCAATGTTTAAGAAATGTACAAACCAAATTTTCAAGTTATTGGCAAACTTCTGGTATAGTTACATTTTTATACCCTGAACCCATTGAAAATGGGAAATCAGGGTATAATGGTTTTGTGAAAAGTATGTAACAGGCAGAAGGAATCATCGCAGACCCCATAAAGTATATATATTCTTGATCAGGACGACGAGCTGAGTCGATATAGCCCTGTCCGTCTGTCCGTCCGTATGAGCAAAAGGATCTCAGAAGATATAAGAGCTAGAGAGCTGAAATTTGGCATGCATACTCGTGTATACCATAGGCAGTACAAGTTTATCATATTTTTTCGATAACTCATCCGATAACTTTTTTATCGAGAATAATCGAAAAATCGACATTGTTTTTTCAGCCTAATTTGAACACTTTTAGACCTGGAGACTTCAAATTTGCGTTGTATATAAAGTTAATGGATACAAAGATTTTGTAATTTACAGATTTAGGATACCACGCCCCATTCGCCCCAATTTCGCATTTCAAGTACTAGAGACTTGTGCTTTGGAATATACACACATTTTAACTATATGATTACACTCTGAAAGTTTCATTAAGATTGTATGTCTATAAAAGAAATTATTCAACAAATAAATTCGTATAATATTGCCAACATTGCAGCGCAGCCTAGGCGCTGTCGCTGCAAACTGCGCAGTCAGCAGAGCGCGTGCTTATAAGTGCATGTGTATGTATGTGTGCATAAAAGAAGTCCAGAATGATTAGAATATTAGCTGGGAGGGTTCAGGGTATCTCCTAGTCGAGCAGTCTCGACTGGAGCCTTCTTACTTGTTTGATATAATAAACATCATATTTTAGGTGCAGTAAAGTATTTCTTAATACGAATGATCAAGATCCCTTAGATAATCTCGGAAAGGCTACTTATTAAGTTATACTATTTATTTATCACTAATCTCAATTCATATTGAATTTATAAATAGATTTTTAGTAGAAACTCATATATTTCAATTTCAGGTCATATTCTGAAATTACGTTCTATCCGAAGGAATATTTTAATGTGCTAACAGGACCCAATGGAACAGGAAAGTCAACTATTGTATCAGCTATTGTGCTCGGATTGGGAGGTGACCCACAGTTGCTGGATCGATCTTCTAGTATCGCTGATTACATCCAAAGTGGTAAAACCGCTGCAACAATTGTTATAACAATTTTTGGAAGATATAGTGACTCTACAGAAGCATTCAAGCGTGTTATAAATCAGAAGGGAGAATCTCAATTTTTTGTGAACGCGAAAGAAATGCCGAAGGCAAAGTTTTTGTCTTTTATTGCTGCCTATAACATCCAAGTCAGCAATTTATGTCAGTTTTTACCGCAGGATCGTGTACAGGTAACTAACTTTTTATTTCAGTATTTGGATATTTCTCATTGGTACTATTGTTTGCGTCCTTTCTATAGCCTGACTGCAGATCGGACTGTAAACCCTAGTATATATTCCAAATTTCAGGTTAGTTTCTAGTAGTTAGATAGCGGCAGATAGAGTTCAATTTAAAAACTCGATAACTTTTCTTGGTTTGTTGTTATCGATTGATACGCTTTTCAAAAATGAGTTTTAAAATTATATCTCTCTACATAATGCCTCCAAACTTTTCATTTAGATTTATCTTTATTTTATACAACTTTAAATTTATTTCGATTTTAACTACTGGCCCCAAAACATTTATTTTGAATATTAATTAATATCTGTTAGATTGTATAAAAGTGCTGAAAATTTTCTACAAATCGGTCAAATACCGATAAAAGAATACCATTTTTATACCCTGAACCCATTAAAAGTGGGAAATCAATGAACGGGTCGATTTCAGAAGTTATAAGAGTTAGAGCACTAACCAGAGAACACATAGACCGGACAAGTATCTCCCAGACACTTCGTATTTGCTCGGCTCTTCACTTTTTGGGTTCGGGCTACGAAAATATACGAAAGCACAATCATTTCGCTTCATGCGCTCGACCGAGATGGTCGACTGTTGAACAAAAGATCCCTCTGCGCTGAATGTTTCCCTTGCTCTCTCTCTCTCACGATGCTCTCTGCTCTCTCAAATATGTATATGTATGTAAGCATGTGAGCACAAGCAGCGCTCACAAATTGAAATTTCTTCGCAGCGAGAGCCCATGCCTACCCTTATGTGTGAAGAGTATACCGAACTTTTCAAACCGTTTGCCATGCGTTTTCGTTATTATTTGTGGGAAGGGTATGAAAGCGTTGGTGCGCATAATGAAAATGTTTTCGCGACGAGCATGCACACACACACTTACAGTATGCTACATGTACTATGAACATTTGTATGCCTGTGTGCGAAGCTCTTGCTGCCTGTAGCAATTTTAAATCCCAGCATTTGCATTTGGTCGATCTTGTGAAGTGCTCACATACATATGTATGTATGTATGGATATACATTTGATTGTGTGTACGCATGGGAGGCGCTGCTCACAATTTTGGGATATAACTTGTAGAAGCACTTGTATGCCTGTGTGCCTTTACATGTGCGTGTGTGTATGTGTTTGTATGTATGCATGGGAGATGAACATTGGCGTGTGCCTCCCTCAACTTAGAATGGTGTGAACGATTTTGGGCTTTGATTGAAGAGGCGCGCTTTTGTTTAAGTACCTGTTTTGATTCAATGATCGTGGGTTTACCTATCAGAATGAATGTTTTTTTAAAATGTGGTACCTGATTAATTCCAATGGGCAAAATGGGATGTGTTTTTTTAACCCTTGCACTTGTGCATACATATGTAGGTCAATTTGACACCTTTTTAAAAAGATGAATACGTAAATAGGTCAAATTGATAATTTTTACAAAAATTTGGATTAATCAGGTACCACATTTTAAAAAAACATTCATTCTGATAGGTAAACCCACGATCATTGAATCAAAACAGGTACTTAAACAAAAGCGCGCCTCTTCAATCAAAGCCCAAAATCGTTCACACCATTCTAAGTTGAGGGAGGCACACGCCAATGTTCATCTCCCATGCATACATACAAACACATACACACACGCACATGTAAAGGCACACAGGCATACAAGTGCTTCTACAAGTTATATCCCAAAATTGTGAGCAGCGCCTCCCATGCGTACACACAATCAAATGTATATCCATACATACATACATATGTATGTGAGCACTTCACAAGATCGACCAAATGCAAATGCTGGGATTTAAAATTGCTACAGGCAGCAAGAGCTTCGCACACAGGCATACAAATGTTCATAGTACATGTAGCATACTGTAAGTGTGTGTGTGCATGCTCGTCGCGAAAACATTTTCATTATGCGCACCAACGCTTTCATACCCTTCCCACAAATAATAACGAAAACGCATGGCAAACGGTTTGAAAAGTTCGGTATACTCTTCACACATAAGGGTAGGCATGGGCTCTCGCTGCAAGAAATTTCAATTTGTGAGCGCTGCTTGTGCTCACATGCTTACATACATATACATATTTGAGAGAGCAGAGAGCATCGTGAGAGAGAGAGAGCAAGGGAAACATTCAGCGCAGAGGGATCTTTTGTTCAACAGTCGACCATCTCGGTCGAGCGCATGAAGCGAAATGATTGTGCTTTCGTATATTTTCGTAGCCCGAACCCAAAAAGTGAAGAGCCGAGCAAATACGAAGTGTCTGGGAGATAACTCCCGAAAAAAAGTGTGCAAAACGCTTTACACTACTTGTCCGGTCTATGTGTTCTCTGGTTAGTGGTTAGAGACTTTAAATTGGGTTTATAATGTCCGCATATATAGCGCGCATATCGAGTTTATCTAAAAAAAATCGATAACTCATCCCGTTATTTTGTTATCGAAAATCAGTTATAAAATTATAATCTTTAAAGCTAAAGGGTCCAAATATATAAATATACATCTAGGTGCATTTTATGCAATTATGAAAATATCAGTTGCTCGAAGGGTTCAGGGCATCTCGTAGTCGGACAGTCTCGACTAGAGCTTTCTTGTTTTTATACCCTGAACCCATTGAAAATGGGAAATCAGGGTATAAAGGTTTTGTGAAGTAGTTTTTTTTTTTTTTTTTTACATTTGTTAATAACATGGCTGATCAGTTAAGAGTGACAATAAAATACATTGTTTAAGTCTATCTAATGAATACATACATATGTATGTATATTAGCGCTAGGTCTTTTGAGGCAATTAATAGATACCACAGTGGTATTTTAGTGAGTATTCAGGACAATGAATTTAATATATTTAACTTAACGGTAAATATTTGTACTAAAATGTCAGTATTTTACACTGTATAAGTTAATGAGTTTTTTATTTCATTTATATTTTGAAACATATCGAAATTGAAATTTTGAACCGTATTAAATGTGATTCTTTATTAGGCACAAAGAAACTAAATATGGTTATGTTAGCTGTAAATTAGGTGTTCCAATGTAGCATTCTTACCTACTGTATATTTGCTATTTGATTTAATATAATCAGTATGATAATGGAACGTGCTAAACTACTGTATACCTAAAATTTGTTTATATTTTGATTTATATGAGTCTAATATATTGTTATATTTTCATAATTGTAGGATTTTTCGAAAATGAATCCACAAGATCTTTTAGTCAACACCATGTCCTCTGTGTGCGATAATAAGTTAATAAAGAATTTCACTGATCTTAAAGAAATGCGATTAAAGCAACTGACCGCTCAAACAGACAGAGAGAAGCAAAATGATAAACTTCAACAAGAGGAAAAACGATTGGAGCAGTAAGAGTTTATTATACCATATGTGCATGAAGAGTTTTTAAAATATTAGCAATTTGTACAATACAGGTTACAGGTTTCGGTAGATCAATATCAAGAACGCCAGGAAATAATACAGAAGTTAAACATTTATAAAGCGAAAAAGCTGTGGATTGAACTGAAAGACTCTGAGGAAAAAATTCACGAATATAAAAGTCAATTGGATGAAGCGAAAGCAGTTTATCAAGATTCAAAGAATGCATTTGAAGAAGAAAAAAATGCACAAGAAGAAATAGCAAAAATAAATGCTGACTTACGGGAACAAACTACTAAGCAAGTTAGTCAATGTTTGGAGTATACTTTTGTAACATTTTAAGATATTTCATTTCGTTTCGTTATATATCGTTTCAGAATAGGCAAATCAATGAAACCATGATTTCCATGAATAAGCTAAGTTCTCAGATAGAGACCATAAAAAAGAGTATCACTGAAAGTAAATGCGAACTAGAGGTAAGAATATTCAATTGTGAAAAAGCCTATATACTTTGATGTCTTTAATGTGTTTTGCAGAGAAGTATCCAACAATCAATCAAGAGCATAAACGACGTGGAAAAACTAAAGTATTTACTGGAAACTAAACAACATGAGTTGGATATATTTAATGTCACAAAGTCTCAGGTTTTAAATGAATTGGAGACGAAAAAAAACATTATAATAAAAACTCGCGACACGACAATGAGCCATTATAACAAGCGTAGGGAACTTGAAACAAAATTAAATGATGAAAAAATTCCTGAAATTGCAGCACTCTGCCATAAGATTGATCGATTAGAGAACATAAAGTCGCAAAAGATTGAAGTAAGGTGAATAAATAATAAAGTCAAATTATAGTTATTTTTATTCATTTTTAGGAGCTGCGTGTTCGAAACCCCAACTTGTTCAAAGCTATGAATTGGGTAGCACAAAATAAGCATATATATTCGTGTAATATATATGATCCAATGATATTTGAAGTAAGATTGGTTTTGAAAGACCACAATTTGTGAGTTAATTAATTATTCAAGTAATACTAAATATGTAATTTTCAGTTGACAATAAAAAGCGAGGAAGGAGCCATGTATTTAGAAAACGTTGTTAGGCAGCGAGACCTTTTTGCCTTTGCATGTGAAGACAAAAATGATATGTCTGATCTTATTGATGAGTTATGTGTAAAGCAAAAGTTATCTGTAAATGTTATGTACTGCGCACCAGCGGATAAATGTTTCTTTAAACCTACTGTGCCAATAACAGAAGTTACGTAAGTATTATTATTATACTCTGAACCCATTGAAAATGAGGAATCAGGGTATAATGGCAAAAGGAGGCGTGGTAGACCCCACAATGTATATATATTCTTGATCAATGATGAGCTGAGTCGATTTAGCCCTGTCCGTCTGTATGTTTGAACGCGTCGATCCTAGAAGATATGAGCTACGGACTTGAAATTTTTTTCCTTGGTCCGTGTATATCACGTGCATATCGAGTTTTTCTTTCCAAATCGATCCCTATATTTTATTATCGATTAAAAACCTTCTCGAAAACTAGTTATTTAATTATATCTCCTACACCTTTAGAGCCACAGTCTCCAAAATTTAAATATAGACTTAATATATTTAAAACAATTTGTTCTATTACAGGCAACTAGGATTCAAAGCGTACCTTGTTGATCTCGTTTCTGGTCCAATACCTTTGATAAATAAGCTATGTGCAACTTATCAAATTCATAATATTCTGATAGGAAACGATGAAGTCAGTAAATTTACAGCGTGTGTTCCGAAATCTATTCGTGTATATTTCGGAGGTAAGTAATTAATGATTTTATTATAATTTGCTAATATATTTGTGTCATATTTATACTCATTCACGAAAGTGAATTAGTATATTGGCTTTGTGCAATGTACGTCTTGTCGGTATGAACGTATTTTTTTTCGGCGCTATTGAAGCTAAAGACTTGAAATTTGGAACACATACTCGGGTATATCTCAAAACCAAAAAAAAGCTTCGACTGATATATGTCCGCCCACAGGGAGCGTGGCAAACCGAAAGTTTATATCTTTTTAAGCTTAAGATATAAGTTAAGCGCTCCCACACTAGAGTACTAGTGATTGGGGACGCTGTGTTGGGTTCTTGAGAATATATAACAACTTTGTGTTCAATGAATTAATATATTTTATATAATTTGGAACAATAGGTCTAAACTCTCTTTAGTACTGCTTAGGTTCTCCCCTTGAATGTCTGACTGGACTCTGCAGCCTCCTTAGATTGTCGAAAGTCTTAACATATATAATAGCTAGAAACTTCAAACTTGAATTGTTAAGTTACTAGTAACCTCTATCGATGACCCAAAAATAATTTTTACGCTTTTTTAGGGGCGTGGCGTATCGAAAAATACCCTGTCATTTTCACATTTTTTGAGCGTAAGCACTCAAATTTTTGCAGTTAGGGTACCGTTAGTTCGTTCTAAAGACTGACCAAAAATTAGGTGTCTACGCACGTAGGCGTGGCAAATCGGGAAAAACTGAATTTTCTACAGTGTTACAGCTAAACTTAGCTACTAAATTGCTGATGTGATGTGAATGAGTATTCCGCAGTCGATAACGTCCGATTGCAACGTTCTTACTTGTTTATGCATATATTTTATAGATTTTATGGAGTAAAAATATTTTTATTAAGGTCGATTAAATGTGTGTATCTGGGGATTTGGGGAATATAAAATATGTTAGACAGCTTCCACACATTAAACGAACATGCTATCAACTAGAATATTTACAGTCGGCTTCCGACACATACCGAGTGCAAGATACGCTTTACATAGTTGCAACCGTTAAAAACGCATCACAATGCAAAGCAACAGAAATATACTGATATAAAATCCCTGTCCACAGAGCAGGACTTATGCAACTATCGGTTATTCCCTTTTATATCCCGTACAGCTTTGTAGCTAGGATCTTCAAATTACATGTATAATTTATACAAATAATAAAAAGACTGTTTTATTAAATCTTTTTATAGCTCCTGTGAGCATTTTGCGAGATGATTATAAACTGAAACTTCATAAAGCTAAACTAAACTTTTATATGGCTAGACGGGGGTTCCAACCCGTTGCTACCGGCGGCCAGGCCGACAGCTTGCGTCTTCCACGGACGATCAGCCCTCCTTTGCATGCTGGTGCAATTTCGGCTGCAACTTTGTCGCAACGGCGTCCGGTGTAGAAGTTGCTGACTCGCTTTCAGCACTATTTTATTGGCGCGTGTTAAATTACATATTTGATTATTTTTATATATTGGGTGCCGGCTCCATGCTAGCAGCAGATCAGCGCGATTTTCTTATAGATGTGCACATATTCATCGTTTATTCTTTGCGTACAGCCAATAACGCGCCTTCTAACAGTTTCTAAGAATTGCGATTAATTTCTGGATTCGCCAGCCGTTTCTGTAGTTTTGTCAGATGACGCTCTGTTATGAAGTAATTTTATTTTGCTACTAGATGTTGAATCGGAGCAGTGGTGTCGATGGTTAAGACGATGTAAGTCGTGTTAGAGTGGTGAGGTTTCAAAAGCTTTTCAATGTTTTTATACCCTGAACCCATTGAAATTGGGAAATCAGGGTATAATGGTTTTGTTGAAATGTATGTAACAGGCAGAAGAAGCCATGGCAGACCCCATCATGTAACCCCAGATGTAAAAGCTAGAGACTTGAAATTTTTTTCCTAGGTCCGTGTGTACCACGCGCATATCGAGTTTTCCTTTAAATATCAATAGCTTGCCCTGTTATTTTGTTATCGATTAAAAACATTATCGAAAATCAGTTTTAAAATTATATCTCCTACATATTTAAAGCTAGAGTCAAATTTCAAATTTTCTAAAAATACTTATATGCATTTTATACAATTTCGGTTTTTGTCAAAATTTACTCCCCACCCCTAATTCACCCCCTCACCCTCACATTTGTAAAAAACGTATTTCAAATACTAGGGACTTGTGCTTTGGGGAATACATGCATATCTAAGTTATATTTATAATCTGAAAGTTTCATGCAGATAGTCCATACACAAGAAAAGTTATTAAACAATTATCTTCCCATAGTAAGCCACCTCTGCAGCCAATGCGTTCTTATGCGTGCGTGCGTATGGCTGTGTGTGCGCGTGTGTGTGTGCATGTGTGAATAATTATTGAAATATCATAATACAACAAAATACAACGGAACTTTTCCATACTACAAAACATAATCAACTTTTACAACAGTCACGAACCATAAAATAGCAAACCCATACGCACACTAAATACTCTTAGCAACTTCAGTATGCTAGCTGCACTCGTGCGAAACCAAGCTAATCGGAATATCCTGTCATAGAACTCACGTTCTTTGTTCAAGGGCTTCGACGGCATGCAGATAGGGAAATAGACAGGTAGGTAGAAAGAACATATTTTTTCAATAACTCGTCCGATATTTTTTATAGAGATTTTTTTCTATACCCTGAACCCACTTTTAATGGGAAATCAGGGTATAGTGGTTTTGTTAAAAGAAGGCGGAGTGGCAGACCCCACAAAGTATGTAAAAGTTTCAGTTGCGATTAAAGCTAGGTACACACGATGCAAACAATTTGCAGCAAGCTAAAAATAATTTGCAGAAAAAGTTTGCACAAATGTTCACACCAATGCAAATATTGCATGCAAATTACTTGCTTCAATCAATTTTTGTTTTGCACGCAAACTTTTGCATGGCTATTTCGTGCAATATATTGCATTAATGTCTACACGTGTTTTCATTTTTTGTTTTTGTTTGCATTGCTTGCAAGTGACACTCCTTTGCAAGTTCAGTTGAATTGAAAAATTCAAGGCATAACGACGTGTTTATATTATGTCGGCACAAAAATCGAGAGTTGCTCCTGTTGCTATATTAGCAATTTTTATGAAACGAACAAAAAATGAGAAGACCAAAGTCTGCCAAAAAAAAAAAATAAAAGTGTTAGGTGAAAGAGTGGATTTCTAAAAGAGATGAAAAAGGAGTGCATCAGAACCTTTTAAAAGAGCTACAATATGGCGATGAAAAAAACTATTACAATTTTCGCATGCCACTCAGTGATTTCAATTTTTTATTAGAAAAAGTACATTTTTTCAGCAATTTCGCGATAAGCATTTTGTTTTTATACCCTGAACCCATTGAAAATGGGAAATCAGGGTATAATGGTTTTGTTAAAAGTATGTAACAGGCAGAAGGAGGCGTGGCAGACCCCACAAAGTATATATATTCTTGATCAGGGCGACGAGCTAAGTCGATTTGGTCCTGTCCGTCTGTCTGTCCGTCCGTCCGTCCGTCCGTCCGTATGTATGAACGCGTCGATCTCAGAAGATATAAGAGCTAGAGACTTGAAATTTTTTTTCCTAGGTCCGTGTATATCACGCGCATATCAAGTTTTTCTTTATATATCGATAACTACTCCCGATATTTTATTATCGATCAAAAACCTTATCGAAAGCTAGCTATTTAATTATATCTCCTACACCTTTAGAGCTAGAGCTTGCAAATTTTAAATGTAGACTTATATGTATTTTATGTAATTTCGTTTTTTGTTGTAATTTACCCCCCACCACTATATCCACCCCCTCACCATCACCTTTGTAAAAGGCGTATTTCAAGTACTAGAGACATGTGCTTTGGAATGTACATACATTTTCACCATATAATTACGCTCTGAAACTTTCATTAAGATTGTACGTATACAAATTAAATTATTCAACAAATAAATTCTTATAATGTTACCTACACTACAGCGCAGCCCAAGCGCAGTTAGCAAAACGCATTCTAATACGTGTGTGTGTATGTATGTGTGTCGAAAAGAAGTGCAGACTGATTAGAATATCAGATTAGAGGGTTCAGGGTATCTCCTAGTCGAGCAGTCTCGACTAGAGTCTTCTTACTTGTTTATACTTATTTTTATACCCTGAACCCATTGAAAATGGGAAATCAGGGTATAATGGTTTTGTTAAAAGTATGTAACAGGCAGAAGGAGGCGTGGCAGACCCCACAAAGTATATATATTCTTGATCAGGACGACGAGCTATGTCGATTTGGCCCTGTCCGTCTGTCTGTCCGTCCGTCCGTCCGTCCGTCCGTATGTATGAACGCGTCGATTTCAGAAGATATAAGAGCTAGAGACTTGAAATTTTTTTTCCTAGGTCCGTGTATATCACGCGAATTAAGTAAACTGCAAAGCGGTTTGCTAAAAAAAAATAATAACTTCACGGCACGACGTGTATTATTCAGTGGTCAGAATCAACTCACTCGTTTATTCGAAATGTACTCAATATAAATGTTACATAAAGTGCTTAGTCTACATAAATGTGTCTTACAATATATGTTGTGTCGGCATTACATGAAATTGGGGCATTGCAGTTTTGGTTGCGACACCGGATACTTAGTGTGCAAAATAAAGAGATTAATAAGCTCTGTCGCAACATAGTTTACTTTAACATTTATAGAGTTCAATAACTCTTGTATCTGCTGACTTAATGAATTTAGCTGAATGTGTAACTTGCAAAATAAAGAGGTTGATAAACTCTGTCGCAACATAATTTACTTAACATTTATAGAGTTCAATAACTCTTGTACCTGCTGACTTATTGAATTTAGTTGAATGATTGAGTTTGCGTTCTGTTCTGGAAGTGGAGTGGGTTTGTACGTAACTTCTCCCCCCTTTGGACAAGAATTCTCCTGAATTCTATTATTATTGAGTTGGATTTTAATTTTTTTGTGTTTTAGCGTAATCAAGATTATTAATAAAAGTATTAGTATATTTATA